GACAGGGTGGCAGTCCAAAAAAGGCAAAGGAGAGTAGTGCACCAATGAGACAGGGCTGGAGAAATATTTGGGAGAGGGGGAAGGGACAAGTGAGAAAGGAGAAGGGACAGGGAGCAGGCGACTTAGTGCTGGGGTGATCGCAAAGCTGTCGGGTAATGGTTAATGTTGCACGGGCACTGTCACAGCTACCTCCTGCATAAAAGGGCTTGCGCCCTCTCCCTGACCACAACACAGAGGCTTTGGAGTTGTAGCTGCAAATTTTGCATTATAAAAGGGGAAGGAGGAAGGGGAGGGCAAGGGGAGAATAGATGCAGAAGTAATTATAGCAGAGATCATATTGAAATTAGCCTCGGTTACAAACGCTCTCAGCTTTAAAGAATTCAGATCATCATCCACGCTGCAGGGTCAGTGGCTTCTCCGAAATAAGTATGTCAGTACACTTCCTAATACTGAGGAGGGTGCTTTGGCTGAGCCTATGTATGCAGAACCTATTGTTGTATTTTCTCCTTCTTTTTGCATCACAAGTGAAAACTGCCAGGGCACAAGGCGTAAGACAAGGTCCAGAATACTTGGTAAAAAAATATCCCATTCTACTGTGTTATCCAGGATAGTCCTTTTCCATCTGGTAGTCGCCTTCTACCCCAGGTCACAATTCAGTGGCTGCCAGCAAGTATTTGCTTAAGGAGGTGTCTGAGTATGAAAGGTATTTTAAGAATGTTAAATGGTAACAGATTACTTTTGGTTTTTAAGGGCCAAGTTCGTTTCTCCTGTAAGTGAGCAACATGCCACTGAGCTCAGTAAAGCTGACCTCATGTCAGAGGTGAAACTGGCCTAGGCTTACACACATTTCAAATGTTAAGACTGAATATAGCAGTGTCCAATCCTAAAAATACTTAAAATGGGATATAATACTTTCTTTCCAGGACTAATTAGGTAGGACCAAATGCACAATAGTAAAGATGCTCTTGAAATTAAGTTTTTTTGCCTGTGCAAGCCATTATGTGAAGGTGGAAATGCAGTATTCCATGTATGGAATAGGGATCCTGAAAAACCTCACTGAAAACTAAAAATAACAGTATAGTTTGCACTCTTTACTGTGGCTCACCATCTGTCATTTCTTTCTTCTGAGAGGCAATAGGAGGTCCAGCAAAAAGAAAAGCATGTTAGAATAGGGTATTTTCAGAGTATTTTCCTGTAAAACAAACAAACAAACAAAAACCCCACCTTAGTGCAAAAGCATAAATTATTGACAGAAATTATTACACGTGCTTGTTTCGCCGGTGATTTTGTATGTAAATATAGCCCAGCAAATTCAACAGAAATGACTGGGCATCTGGAACATACCATTTCCAAATTAATTTATTTGGTTACTAGTGCTCTGAAGAAGTACAAAGGATGCAGTCGTCATTGGCTTCAAAGCATACCAATAAGCCTTGCAAGTATAGCAATACTAATAATTAATACTCAAAGCGGTAAATATTTGCACCACCAAACAACCGCTGTCGGGACTAAGATGAAATTACCAATTAATGCTCTCTCCTGCTTTACTTCACACCTGACCTACACAGGGTAGAACTAGGATGCGGCCCAAAGCCTCCTGCACACCTAGGGCCTGGCAGGTGAGGACTTTTGGGCACAATTCCCAGCCTCGTCCAGCCTTGAAGAAAAATCTTGCTCCAGCTGCTTCCATTTCCCCTTTTTTTCAGCATAAAAAACGTTTTGTGCAAACCCGAACCGCGAGTTCGGAGCCTGTTGCGTTTGGCCTGTGCGCTCTCGGGGCGCGCACCCCGCTGCACCACATCGCGACGGGATCCGCGGCCTACAGCTCGTGGCGCAGAGGGACCCGCTCCCTGCACGCCGCGTTGTCAAATTCCCATTAAGATGCCGGTGGGGTACAGAAATTAGCGGGTGGAAATAAATGCGCGGGCACCTCTGCAGGGTGCGGGGCGAGGGAAGGAGGCGGGAGGGGGGGGAGGCGGCGGGAGGCGGCGGGAGGCG